GCCAGAGCTACAGCGGAACTGAAAAGGTAGGAGGGGAGAGGGAAAATGGGACTAAGGGAAAGTGTGGGTGTTAAAGAGGGGCTCTGGGTGTGGGGAGCCAGAGGATGGCTGCAGGGCAGCTAGAGAAGTTGCAGGGAGTGGCAGTAGGTGCTGGCAGCTTGCTGGCAGGGGCATCTGCATGGGTGCTATCAGTTTTCTTGCCATGACTTTGACATAACATGAAAAATAGAGATGTTGATCTTCTTTATCCTCGTATAGCCTCCCATACACCCCACCTAGCACCTCCCAGATGACAACACACGAAAATAATGTTCAATCAAATTTTTAATAGTCTCTTCCCGAAACTGTCATGAAGGTATACGCAATCCTTCATGTCGGTATGTTTCCCTCTCCTACTCAGGAGCTTAAAAGTCTCACACCACTGTTTGCATACTGAAGCTAGGGGAATTCAGCTTTCTTTCCTCAGTATTCAGCCCCAGTACTCACAGCTACACTGTGCTGCCTGCAGGTCATCCTGGCCTGTATCCAGTTGTCATCATTGCCAAGGTCCAGTCTCAGCTCTCCAGCAACTGATCCAGCTCCACTGAGCTGGCCTCAGTGAGAGCCGTTTGCTGCTGCATTTCCCACCATTCGCCCCTGCTGGGGTCTGTCTTCCAGTGTGTAGCTACTGTGGAGCCACTGCATTCACTTCCAGTCTCCCTCTCCACCGTGTCCAGGCAGGTTTTGAACTCTGCCACTGTATTCTGCCCCTCCTGCTAGGCCCAGCAGGTTCCTCTTAGCCAGGCTTGTCCTGGGGCCGGCATCCTTGGATGTGTCTGGTGTGCTTCTGGGTCACCGTCGGAGAGCTTCAGCTCAACTGCTGCCACAGCCAATTGGGCTCCACCACCACAGGGTGAAAAGCTCACTGACCAAGTTGTCTGTGACAACACCAAGTTATGGGGAAGCTTGGTCACGCTTGAAGATAGGCTACAGATACAAGCAGACCTAGACAGGCTAGTAAGTTGGGCAGATCAGAATCTGATGCAGTTCAACACTGAGAAATGTAAAGTGCTCTACCTCAGGATGAGCAACCCCCAACACACCTACAGGTTTGGCAGCACCAAACTAACTAGCACCACAAATTAAAGGGACCTGGGAACAATAATAGACCACAGTATAAATATGAGCCGGTAGTGCGATGTTGTAGCCAGTAGGACAAATAATACTCTGGCATGCATCAATCAGTGCATCTCCAGCAAAACCAAGGAGACGATTCTCCCACTCTACTCAGCACTGGTGAGGCCACAGCTGGAGTACTGCATCCAATTCTGGACACCACACTTTAACAAGAACATGGACAAGCTTGAGAGAGTCCAAAGAAGAGCCACCCACCTGATCAGAGTCTTACACGGCAAGCCATACAGAAAAAGGCTGAGGGATCTGGGACTCTTCAGCCTGATGAAAAGAAGGGTGAGAGAGGACTTGATAGCAGCTTACTGCTTCATTAGAGAAGTACATCTAGGGCTCGGTGAGCAACTGTTCACCAGAGCACCCAAGGGGAAAATTAGGAGTAATGGCCACAAACTCCTGGAAGACCAATTCAGGCTCAACAGTAGGAAAAACTTCTTCAGAGTCAGCGTGTCCAAACTGTAGAATAAGCTCCCTCCAGAGGTGATGCAATTACCTACCCTGGAAGTCTTCAAGAAGAGACAAGACAGTCACCTTGCTGGGGTCACTTGACCCCCATTTATCTTTCCTGCATAGTGTAGGGGGCTGGACCTGATGATCTTTCAAGGTCCCTCCTGGCCTTACATCTATGAATCTGTGCCCACAGCAGCTCTCCCACCTGCCTCCAGTTTGTACACCTGGATTCAGGGGCCCTGCATGGGGGGGCCATCCCTCCCTTCCCTGCCTTTGCCCCCCCTTCCCACCCTGCTGGCCAAGCTCCCCCCTAGCCCCCAGAGTTCTCTCCTACAGTATGCAGGGAGGCAGGAGGCAGTTCAAAACTTTATTGAGCAGCCAGCACCTTCCCAGCTAGGCAACCAGGGGCCTCTCACAGGCAGAGAAACTCATTGATGGCAGTGGCAACCTTCTCCTTGGCCACAGGGGTCTGGCACTCATAACGTAGGCACGGATAGCCCTCTAGGCAGTGCACATTGGAGGGAAGTGCAGGCTTGCCTGGGGTGTTGTCAAAGCTCAGAGCCCCACACCAGGTTCTCAGCTGTGCCCAGGACACCATGATGATTAGCAGCAGCAGGGAGTAGTGGGCCAGGCACCCCTCAGTGTTCTCAAACAGCTTGTCATGGTGTGCCATGGGGACTCTCAGCAGGGGCATGCTTGGAGTGTAGGCCACACACTGGGGTGGGAGCTAAGAGGGATAGGTTTGCCAACCCTCCTGGATTGACTGGGAGTCTACCAGAATCGGCATCAATCTCCTGGTGACTATTAAAAGCAATCCTGGAGATTGATATTGTGAATGGGTTGAACAGTACAATTAATGACTAGAGGTGTACCGATACATCGGTCCCATATCAGAACAATACTGATGTAAGGAAAATTGACAGTATTGGCAAATAGCTTTTTTTGGTTGATGTGGCCAATAATATCACTGATAAATGCCCCATGCCTGGACACTGCCACAGTACAGCACACAGGCAGCCAGGAGCACAGCCCAGCAGCATGGAGAGCAGCTGGGCCTGGCTGGTAAGTCTGTTGTGAGGGAAGGGACAAAGGGGGGGCAGATTGAGGCCCCTACAGTAAGGGAGAGGGGGGCTGGGGCAGGGGCAGGCACTGCACAGCTGAGGCAGGGCACAGGAGGGAGCCATGAGCTGCTCCTCGGGGGGCACAGGGCAGGCTGCCACTGTGAGCTGGGGCTGGGAGCAGTGCTGGGCTCTTCCCAGTTGGGGAGTTGGGCCAGGGCTGTATTCAGGGTGGGCAGTGGAGGCACTGGGTGGAGGGCTATGGTGAATTTTGGGGTGGCTGAAGCCCCCCCCCCATACCCTCTTTCCAGTGCCACCACTGCTTGCCCCAAGTGCAGCCCAGCCCAGCCCCCAGCCCAGAAGAGCTTTGTGCAACCCCAGCCCCAGTCTGCAGTGGCATCCTAACCTCTCCCCGCATGCAGATTTAGGGGCACATGCCCCCACACCCTCCTGGGGAGCATGTAGCAGTGGAAGCTGCACCCTCCCCCGGAGCCCCCCACATAGCCACTCATGGCATCATCCTGCATTCCACCCCAGCTGTGCAGCACCTGACCCTCACCAAGTCCTATTCCCTCCCTCATTGCAGGGCCCTTGATCTTCCCCCCCCCATACCCCTTCCCTCCCCCCTTTCCCCTTCCACCACAACAGACTTACCAGCCAGATGCTGCTCTCCAAGCTGCACAACTGCATATCAGCAATTGGACTGTTATCAGCCGATATGGATCGTTAAAAATTGGCCATCAGTATTGGCCAAAAAAATCTGTCGGTACACCCCTAATAATGACATTACATCATGTTGAGGGGAAAAAAATCTCCTGGAATAGTTTCAGTCAGAGTTGGCAACCCCCCCGGGGAATGTCTCTCCAGAGAGGCCCACCAGCAGAGTAGCAGCATCACCAGCTATGTGCCCCAGCCAGATGGGAGCCCCTCACCCTACAACCCCAGCTGACATAGGCCTGGCACCATGGGAGGAAACTGTCTGGACTGCAGAAGTGGGGGAGTTGGTCTGGAGCTGCTGCCAAGAGCCATCCCTGGCCCAGCCTGGGGAGGGAACTGGGAAGGCAGACTGCCTCTGGCAAGTACCAAGTGGGCCACCTGCCCCCACAGGGGGAGCAGGGATGGAGGGTTTGGCTAGCAGTTATCTGTGCCAGGGGCTGCCCAGGCAAATTTTCATGTTCCCTGTGGACAGTCCCTATAGCCCTTCCCAGTGTGGCTGTGCAACAGACACATAGGATAGGACTGTACAACTGTAGCTCCTGCCCTTACCTCCTGACTCTGGGCAGAACAGCCTCTCAGCCTGATGCTTCCTCCTTCCTTCCTGCAGCAAACTGCAGTCCAGCTTATATCCCTGGGCCAAAATGGCTGCCCTCATCAGGCACCTGCTTGCTACCTGCTGGCTGCTCTTAAAGTGGCAGGCACCAAAAGTGCCCTGCCACAACCTTTCTCAGAAGAATTGCATGTTGGCTGCAGCCAAGGTTGGGGATTTTGACTGGGATGTGGCAGTGCTCCTTCTGGGACTACAACTCAGAGGTTCCTGGATAGATGGTCTTGCCTCCACTCATGATCAGACTGATCACCACATTTGGGGTCACTAAGGAATTTTACCTTGTGCTCAGACTGGTACAGACTGTGGGGGGTTACGTCTTCCTCCATAGCAAGGAGAATAGCTGTCTTTCTTGGCTCTCAGACATATTTAACAGCCCTTGCAGCATCAAGACACTGGGCATCATTGTCCCCCCACTTTACCTGTGGCAGGTTAGGATGCTTGTGTGACAGGGTTAACTGTGTAGTTTTAGTACTAGGTTAGAGGGGTATTTGTATATGGTTTGGATAAGGATGATCTACCTCTGGCAGGAGACTGGACTAGATGACCTCTAGAGGTCCCTTGCAGCCTTACTTTTCTATGATTCTGTAATAGAAGGACATAGCAGAGTGATGTCTTTGCTACTTGTGCCTTAGGTGATGGAAAGGTAGGTTTCTACATGTCTAAACAAGATATCACTCTCATAGCATGGTGCTTTTCCATTCAAGATACAAAAAATTTCAGTAGTCCAGTTTACATGTTAGGCATAGTTCTCCTGTTCCCCTGCTGATGGTAGTGAGGATTTTTGTTGTTCTAACTGAATGCAATACAGAGCCTAAGAGAAGTCTTGATTGCTTTGACAATTTGTGAGCAGTTGTCTTCAATGGAAGGGATTGTTATGAAGAAGAGTTCAAAGTGTCTTGCTCAACAGCCAAAGGACCCGTCTTCTGAAAGACAAGGAAACTAATGTATAGTTTGTGTGCTGTGGGCTCCTATGGCTAACCTGTTTTCATTCATAGCTGAATCCACAGAAACCATCATACGGAAAGTAAAATGCATGCGAGTGGAGAATCCTGACTTTGCCACTGTGATAACAAACTGTGAAGACAGCACTTGTTGTACTATCTTTGGAGATGGGACATCTATTATAGCAAAGCCACAAGGAACATATAAGGTGAGAATCACATTGATATAATAATGTAATATATATTTATCCATGAACAACTGGTTCCTCCCGAGACTGGGGGGGCACAAGTTGTGGGCAGCAGTGTTGGCAGTAGGGTGGCAAGTGGTGATCACCTACGGAAGCCATCAGTGGCAGTAGCCAGCACATGCCCCCCCATGTCCACCCTACAAGTCGCCTGTGTGTTTATGTATTCTGAACATCTTATCCTTGCCTTCACCTCCTCTTACCTTGACCAAATCTTCCTTTTCTATGTACTTTAGAAAATCGTCTCTCTTCAGATCCTCATTTACTGTAGATGCAAATTCAAAATTGTTCTCATTTAAAGTAATATTGCAGGGACTGGTAGCAGTTTTCCTTCTGGACCTTGTCTTTCCCCATTTCCCTCTCCACTCCTTCCAAAATGGATTCAGTATTCAAGATCCAGATCAGATTTTTCTTCCTTTTTCTTTCTGAGTTTCATTTTCACACTGTATCAAAACTCAAGATTTAACTAAGGACAGTTGACCATCATCCTTCCTTGTTCTGATAGGTGTTACCCTTCAGCACAGGTTGCCTTTTCATTGATGAATATTGTTCAGCAGTTTATTCCCATGAAGTTCATGATGACACCAAGTTTCACAGCAGGCATAAGGAACAGCAAGCAGGAAGATACAATATGAAACACACCTCAGACATAATCTGCGAGGTGATGGATCCTGAAGGAAACCTATTCAAGGTAAAACACAAAACAGGAAGTAAGGCCTTTTGTTTTATATTTAAGTAATTTTGCTGACCAAGTAAATCACATTAGTAAAGAGCCTTGTGCCCTGTAGCATTAATAGGGATGATCTGATTAATATGTCTAGTGGTCGCCAAACTGTTGGTACAGGCTGCTTATGGTTTTCAAGGCCATGGCAAGTGGCCCACATATTGCAGAAGGCCTTTTTACCCTGCCCACCCACCTATCCCCTCTTAAAATGAAAGGCTGAAGATAAGCGAACATAGTGGTCTATGATAAATTTTGAGGGTTCCAATGACCCCAAAATGTTGGGAAATACTATGATAGGTATCTGAGCCAGTTAGCTTGGCACGGCCAACAGGATCAGAATAAAGTGAATCTCAATCTGAGAAGGTTTTGGGGGGCTCTTGTAAAAGACAATAAATGTCACACTGGTTAGATAACATGTAGATCTGTAGCTGTACCAAATCTATAAAGTGACATTGTTTTATGTGACTTGTAACTTGATAGGCAAAATCAGGGACTAGCTGTGCAGGGCATGAAAGGGGAAGAAAGTGTAAATATTTTTTTATATAGAACCCCATCAAAATATTCTAACTTAAATTTCTCAGACAGAAAGAGTTGAAATGGCATGATTCAGTGTTTAGACACAACTTTGTGTTGTAATTATTTATAGTCTAAAAGCAAGGTATGTTTGAGCACATACACACACACATATATACATACATATATACACATATATATACATACACACATATATATATACATATACACACATATACACACAAACACATACATACATACATATATACATATATACACACACATATATACACACACATATATACATACACACACATATGTGTGTATACACGTACAGACATTTATACACACACACATATATATACACACGCACATACACACACATATATATACACACACATATACATGCACACATACACACACAAGTACACGCACACATATACACACACGTGTGTATATACACATACAGACATTGATATACACACATACACACACACATACATACGCACACATACATACACATACAAACGCACACATATACACACACATATATGTGTGTGTATATACACATACAGACATTTATATACACACGCATACACACACACATACATATGCACACATATATATACACACACAGGTATATATACATATATATATAACCATATAAACACACACATATATATGTGTGTATGTATATGTGTGTATATGTGTGTGTATATATATATGAGTGTGTGTATATGTATGTATATGTGTGTATATGTGTGTGTATATATATATGTGTGTGTATATGTATGTATATACACACACACATACACAAACATATATTTATACACAGACATATACACACACACACTCATATATAATGTGTGTGTATAATTATGTGTATGTGTGTGTGTGTGTGTGTGTGTGTGTGTGTGTGTATGTGGATGCACGACAAGGTACAGTTGGCCTTCCTAGCTGCCTCCCCACACTGCCGAGCCATGTTCATCTTGGAGTCAATAATGAGTCCAAGATCCTTTCCCCCCTCCATGCTGACAAGAGGGGAGTTCCCCAGCCTGTAGGTACACCGTGTCCTCTCCCGCCATTCCTGGTAACCTGTCAAGGCCCGTCTGTAGCCTGTTGCTCCCTTCTATTGTGCCCACATCCCCCCACATCTTGGTGTCATCAGCAAATTTGAACAGGGTGCTTTGCACCCCCTCATCCAAATGTGACATGTATATACACACACAGACACACACACACAGACACGTATATACACACACAGACACACACACACACAACCAGACACGTATATAAACACACACAGACATACACACACACGCAAACCCAGACATGTATATACACACACAGACATACACACATGCACACCCAGGCACATATATACACACACAGACACACACACACAGACACGTATATACACACACAGACACACACACACACAACCAGACACGTATATAAACACACACAGACATACACACACACACGCAAACCCAGACATGTATATACACACACAGACATACACACATGCACACCCAGGCACATATATACACACACAGACACACACACACAGACACGTATA